AGCAATCGTACTGCTTTAATGCATAGAGACTAAATATCGAAGCGCGTAAGCGCCGCGTCGCTGTCTAACGCATAAGCATTGGTACGGAACCCATAGGAATGTTAACAAAATGTATACTTATTGTTAAAATCTCTATAAAATATCTGATAATTTAATGTGCATATGTCTAATGTCTAATGATTATTGTTGACCGCCAAATGTTATTTTTTTTTTACTTTTTTTACTAGATCTCCGAAACCGCTAGACCTATTTTCATGAAAATTTGATCAAATCTTCATCTTGATAATGCAAGTAAAATGTTTTTTGAATTATACAAATACGGACCTGCCTTTCACAAAAACTAATCAGCACGTCTCCTTATCAATACGAATCGAATGTTTTTTGAATTATTCAAATTGCTTCATCCCGGTTCCCGAAATCGTCGACGAAAATTTGTATCTGAACACACACAAATGCACGCGCACACATACACACACATACATCAATTTTCTCTAAGGTATGCCAATATATTCAGAAACCTTTGAAACGTAAAGATATATAAAAATTTTCATTTTCGATTTTTGTGCGATTACTATAACTTACACTACGGAAAGTTAATTATAAATAAATCAATTTATCATCTCCAAAACATTAACAATCGTCATTTCATTTCGAATCAAATTTCAAAAAAAAAAATAGTTGCCAAATTTCCACAAAATTGAAAAAGTGCTCCCGCGTAGTCACAGTCTAAACGCATTTGCCAATAATTCTGTGCGACATTTTCATTTATACTGTGCTTAGCTTGGCGGCATTTTCACATTTTTCAATAATTTTCACAAAATTGGAAAAGTGCTCCAGTACACAAACAGTCTAAACGCACTTGGGTAAACATTTGTACCAGAGTGGCGCTTAGACTGTGCTTAGCTTGGGTGATTTTTTGAATTTTTAATCCAAAATTACAAAAAAAATTTTTTGAAAAAAAAATAAGAAACAAAAAATTTGTTTTTTCCAAAATCAATTATTTTGTTGAAACAAGCAGAAAGTTCTTTGAATCATTTAAATCGGACGCTTAGTTCTCTCAAAAACTGCCATTTTTTTAACATTTAGCTCTGTATCTCCGAAACCGCTGGGCCTACCTTTGCCAAAAACCAATCAGCACATCTCCCTATCAATAGGAATCGAATGTTTTTTAAACCATTCAAATCGGTTGATCCGTTCTCTCAAAAACTCGCTTTCTATTTTCTGCACTCTTTGCTCCATATCTCCGTAACGGCTGGACATGCCTTTGCCAAAAACTAATCAGCACATCTCCCTATCAATAGGAATCGAATGTTTTTTAAACCATTCAAATCGGTTGATCCGTGCGCCCGAAAACGTGGACGAAAAAAAGCGGACATACAAAACACACACACACACACACACACACACACACACACACACATCCATTTTTTCTGAAGTATGCCAAAATGTTCAGAAACCTTCAAAACGTCGAGAAATGTAAAAATTTTTGATTTTGATTTTTGGACGATTACTATAACTTACCCTACGGTCTATTCAAAAGCAATCTAGGGAAAATAAGAAAAAGACTCTACCGACGAGCAAATTAATTAGCAAACTTGTAGAAGGTAAAACAAGTATTCTCAAAACTGATAAAAAAGGACTCTACTGACCAGCAAAATAACATACTAACGATTTTGAGTTTCTCATATATTATTACCCTGTGTCATTTCCATTGGTAATAAATTTGTTAACGGCTTTAAAATAAATCCCAAAAATGTTTATTTAACTTTTTGGTTTTAGTGTCGATTTTAAATAAACATTTGCGGCGCCGCAGGCAGCAGAGATATAAACCAAACAACAGGCGAACAGACGAACGTAAATAGATAATGAGATTTATTTTTTGTTTCTGTTTTTATCTGTTGACAATTAAATATAAATAAATATATAAAGCTTAACGATGAATGATATAATAGTCTGATAGATTTATGCATGGCCCATGATGTGAGAGCATCACATTCAAATTTACCCGTTATTTTTGAAGTAAAACTTCTTTAGGTGCGACACTGGTGTAAATCCGTACAAATGCAACGAAAACGCCAACGTGAAGTTGAAGACTACGACGCTAGTTAGCGCAGCTATCGCAATTATTCGATCTAGTCTGCGAGCAAAACAAAAAATACATCAAATGTCGAATCATATGTCAAAAACAAAACAAAATGTGTCGACTTTCACTTGAGTTTTGTATTTAGCTCGTAGTCTCTAAACATTTTTTGAAGTAAAACTTCTTTAGGCGCGACATGAGTTAGCAGTATAATTCGTGAGTTAATAAAAATGTCAGGATCGGAAGAATATTTTATCCCGTCCCCCATAAATAATTGTTTGTGCAAATGATCGCAAATAAATAATGAAACTAAGGAAAAATCTGCGCTGCGTAAGAAATGATAGTTTTGGCTATGTATGTTTTGTGTGTGATCGACTTTGGTTTCAAAGTGACTTAGAAATACCAAATGATGCTCAAAAACAAATTATAAATAATGTTTTTTTTGAATATTGATTCAAATAATCAGGTTGGATATCAAACTTGTCGAAAGATATTAAATTCCCACTTTGTGTAAATTTAACGGGTTTGTATTTCCACCTATACCAAATTATCTACCTAAACTAGATACTGTATCCAAAAGGTTAGTTTCACCTATACATAGATCAAGCTATGTGCAGGGCCTGATAAATAAAACAAATATAAAAGTATGGCTTCAATTTTTTAGGCAAAACGGATATTACAGTTGTTCAAGGAATGAGATTGTATCGTCAGCGAAGAAGTAAAAAAATACAAACAGTAAATGAATGTATGTTAATTTTAATTACATGAAGTTCTTCAAACACAATTGTTACAGGATGAGTTAATTTGCAAAAACAATATTTGTTTAGGCGTTGTTTAACATAATCCACTGTGTGAACGAATATTATGGAACTTATTAATCAGCAATTACTTTAAACCGATCATGTCATATTTCAAGTATGACTTTGATTACATTATTGTTTGTAAATATTATACATATTTTTAATGCAATCACAAATATATAATTTATAATTTATCATTATATAAATGTGTATAATGATTGACGACACTAATAAATGTGTGCATCACGAGTGTTACAAAGCTACTTTATACAGTAGCAAATAAGTTTTACTTCAATCGCGTATGATCCTTACGCGCATACTTTTTTTATCTGTTATTCCTCGCCCTATCGGTAATTAAACCCTCTAAATCTATCCCTAATGCACTCCTTTGTGCTCTAAAGTGCCCTTCTTCAACTTTTTTTTACATTATCGCGTGACTCTACAAGAATTGAACTAATCTCGAGAAAGTAGGGGGAGGATCAAGAAGGACAATTGATAAAAAGAAACTCGCCCGTAGGACGTGATGGTCACAAAGAAAAGATTTTAAATAAAGAGGGTGTTTTACCATTGTTGGGTTGTTAAAATGATTTATTGAGCACGCACTGTTTTCTTTTCGGTTTGCAGTAGTTCAAGTTCCTAAATTTTCACCTTACATGCAAGCTGCAATTTGCAATTAATTTTTGCAACTAGTGGTGTATGGCATCGTGCCCTAAGGCAAATTGCTGGAACTTATCGTACCGTAATGAAAATATTCGAGAAATTTTAAACGTTAATAACAAATACTGTAAGGTTAATTATTTTCGCTATATCGTCATATCTGAGCAAATCATATGTGAATTATAAATAAATCAATTTATCTCCAGAACATTAACAATTGTCATTTCATTTCGAGTTCTTCGAATTAAAAAAAAAAAATAGTTGCCTAATTTGCACAAAATTGAAAAAGTGCTCCCGTATAGTCACAGTCTAAACGCATTTCCAAACAATTTTGTGTGACATTTTCACTTATACTGCACTCAGCTTGGCGGCATTTTCACATTTTTCAATAGTTTTCACACAAAATTAGAAAAGTGCTCCAGTACAAAAACAGTCTAAACGCACCTGGGTAAGCATTTGTACCAGAGTGGCGCTTAGAATGTGCTTAGACTGGGCAATTTTTTGAATTTTTAATCCAAAATTACAAAAATATTTTATGGAAAATAAAAAAAAGATGTTAGAATTTTTTATCCTCGAAAGCAATTGTTTTGTCAATACAAGCAGAAAGTTTTTTAGGTTTTTTAGATCATTCAAATCAAAGGACGCTTAGTTCACTCAAAAACTGCCATTTTTTGCACATTTAGCTCTGTGTCTTCGAAATGGCGGGGCCTGTCTTTGCCAAAAACTATCAAAATTTTAAAGATATTTATAATTATACGAAAAAAGTACACGAAAGCCTTATAATTAGACCGGAATACTCATAAACCAAAGTAGATACTGATATATTTTTTAAAAAATACTATTGTTTATTGTAGAATGTTGAAATTTTAGTATATTTTACTTTAATATATCTACTATAGGAGCAAATACTAACATTGATAAATCCTCTTGAAAAATTTTAAATTATTTATAATTTTATGAGTAAAATACTAGCAACGGAGGAGTAAAGTTTAATTTTTTTTAATATTTGTGTTTGTTGTAGAATGTTGTAATTTTAGTATGTTATACTTCAATATATCTAAAATAAAAACAAATACTAAAATTGATAAGTTTTCTTGAAAAGTTTTAAGATATGTATAATTACATAGAAAAAGTACACGAAAACCTTCGACAAAAATACTCAAAAACTAAAGTAGATACGTAGTATTTTTTTTAAAAATACTTTCGTTTGTTCTATGATATTGTAATGTTCTGGAGATAAATTGATTTATGATTTACATTTGATTTGCTCACTCAGATATAACAAGATAGTAAAAATCATTAACTTAACAGTATTTGTTATTAACGTTTAAAATTTCTCGAATATTTTATTACGGTACGGGAAGTTTCAGCAATTTGCCTTAAGGCACGATGCCATACACCACTAATTTTAATAATACAATAGCATTGGATAAAATACAAAAGGTTTAAATTTATCTACATATTTATTGGTAAATCGGTAAATTACATTTGGACAAATAAACAAATCATATTCCTCAACAAATTATTATAATAATCATAATGATCTATTTGCAGTGATTTCTTTTTTCGCAAACGAAATATTCCTTTTCCGCGCAAGAGACATCAACCATTCCGTAATTGTTGATGTCATGACGCCAGTAGATGCAATAGCCGCTTGTGTTTTTGGAAGGACTTCCCCTGGCCCATTGCTGATGGAACATTTCCATCGGATTGGTCAAATACCACAAGTATCCATCTTGAGGACTAGTGAGACTGTTGCCGGACAACCAGAATTCTTCAATTCTATTATTATACTCTGAAAACAATTTGCGGATAGAGAATATTTTTAAATTGACACCAGGAACTTTAATGCTGACCACATTGACCGTTCCAAGGATCACAACTAGAACTATGAACTAGTGGTGTATGGCATCATGCCTTAAAGCAAATTGCCAGAACTTCCCGTACCGTAATGAAAATGTTTATTATTTAAAACTTTAATTATTTTTGATATCTTGTTTGTTATATCTGAACACAAAATTGGTAAAGTGCTCCCGTATAGTCACAGTCTAAACGCATTTACAAACAATTCCGTGCAACATTTTCACTTATACTGTGCTCAGCTTGGCGGCATTTTCACACTTTTCAACAGTTTTCACAAAATTGGAAAATCGCTCCAGTACATAAACAGTCCAAACGCACTTGGGAAACATTTGTACCAGAGTGGCGCTTAGACTGTGCTTAGACTGGGTCATTTTTTGATATTTTTGAATTTTTTTTAATCCAAAATTACAATTTTTTTTTATGGAAAATAAAAAAAATAAAAGGGACTCTACTGACGAGCAAATTAAAATCTTGACAGAAAAAGGGACTTTACTTATGAGCATATTGAAATGTCAATACAAATAGAGACTTTACTGACGAAAATATTTAAAAAGGGACTCTACTGACGAGCAAATTAAAATGTTGACAGAAAAAGGGACTTCGTTGATGAGCATATTGCAACGTCAGTAAAGTCAAGAGACTTTACTGACGAGAATATTAAAAAAAGGGACTCTACTAACAAGCAAATTGAAGTGTCAATGCAAATTTTTACTGACGAGCAAATTTAAAATTTCAGTACAAAAAGGGACTCTACTGATGGGAAATTGAAAATGTCAATAGAAATGGAAACTCCACTGACGTACAAATTAAAATGTCGATAACAAAAAGGGACTCTGCTGACGAGAAAATTAAAATTTCAATACATTTGCAAATAATTCTGTGCGACATTTTCACTTATACTGTGCTTTCACATTTTTTGATAGTTTCTCACAAAATTGGAAAAGTGTTTCAGTACGTAAACAGTCTAAACGCACTCGGGTAAACATTTGTACCAGAGTGGCGCTTAGACTGTGCTTAGCCTGGGCAATTTTTTAAATATTTTTCTTATGTATGCCTTAAAATGTTCAGAAACCTTCAAAACGTCGAGAAATGCGAAAATTCTCATTTTCGATTTTCGACCCATTACTAAAACTACCCTACGGAAAGTTAAAAAATGAACTAAATATTCTGTGAGATAATATATCTCGGCGTAGCACAAGGATCGATTGAAAGGCTTCGTTTCGGTTGATGGTAATAGAAATATATATATATATACGTGTATATATATATATATATATATATATATATATATTGTTGAAGTTTGATACTAAACGCTCTGTGTCTACTATGTTTATGTATACGAGTCTTGTCTTTTGTTTTATGTAAAACAAGTGATTGTTAATAATGTTTGAAATGATTGTGATTAGTTAAAGAATATATAATCAGTCAGTCTGTTTTTATCCTCCTGTATAAACGGTTGTATTATTATTCACATAAACTTTTAACATAAATTCTACATATATATGGTATATAAATATATTTATTAAATGCATAAAATTTCATATAAAAAACTTACTTTCTTTAAAGAAAGTGCGCAAGGCTTCCGACTGCCCTTTATTTTCAATTGCAGCTAAATCGCCTTTGTAAACGTCGTGACAGGTTCTGTAAGCTTCATGCCAAGTTTTCTATAAATGAATAAAAAAGAACTCTACTGACGAGCAAACTAAATTAAGATTCGAAAAATATATAATATACTTACTTTAGAGTTTGAATAGATATAAAAATCTTTGCCATCCGGACTTGTCACCACATTAAACTTATCTGCAAATAGTATTAAATCATTAATTTAATCAATAATATTATGAATTTAAATAGTTAATAACTCGTAACTAATTGAAATTTTTGCTGCCCTATGTCAAATGATCGATAATAGGAAATTATGAATAAAAATATTTATTTTACCTCGTGTTGAGAAAGTAGTAGTGACAGTGGTTAAGTGCACCAAAAAAATGAAGTTTAGGATGAAAACAAATAAAAGTTTCATATTGATTGAAATTGACTTCGATTAGCAAAACAATATTGACTGCAATACAATCAATGCGAATTCGATGGCCCTTTTATAGTAAATTATTGACAAAAAATTGCCGTCAAGTACCACTTCAAAATTTTCACTCAAAACGGGGAAATTTATTAAGTTAAGTAAAATTTTCTTATCGGATTTGAATGTGTTCTCAAAACATATACAAAAGTGTTTTTTTAAAAAAAACAATACAAATTTTTGATGAATTGAAAACTTGTGAGAGTACACAAAATTTTCAACAGTTGCAATGTTAATTATAAATGAAGTTACTTAGAAAAAAAAATGTAATTTTGTCTCAAATTCAAAGATATGAACATGAATTTGATGAAAACTTCTATAACTTAACTTTTGGTCTTACAAAAAGCAAGAATTCTTACACCTTATGATCCGAGACACAACTACAGCCCTTAATAGAAGGGATTGGTGCTTTGTGGCATCTAGAATCGTGATCACAAATCGAAATAAGGGATTATCCTTTCCATAGTGATTCGGAATTGCGAATTGAGAATGTCCTTGTGTACATATTAGATAATATTCGTAGCAATTTAAGGCAGAAGAGATGTCAACACGTTTCGGGGATCGAAATGATAATGCACTGGATTAACAAATAGTAATTTGTGAAATATTCGAGTATTAGAAAAATAAACAAAGGATTAGAGAGAAGAAAAAATCTATTTTAAAAATTTATATTTCTGGATTTGAGACAAACTTACAACTGTTTTCGAAAATGTAATTTTTTTTTGTTTAAAATGTTACATCATTTATAATTAATATTGCAAAAGTGTTGAGAAGTTTTGAATACTCATAAGATTTCGATTCGTCAAAAATTTGTATTTTTTTTTTAAATATTTAAAGAACACTTTCTAAAGAAACTTTTATTTAAGGCCTTTAGATCGATCCTTGTGCTACACCCACACCCATAATTTGACATAAAAGCTTTACAATATCTCGGTATACTTTAAAATTACATTTGTTGGTAAATATAATTAATGTTATGAATAAATTTAAACTTAAAATGGATTTTTAACAAAAAAAAGTTAATGTAACAGATTTGAACCAATTTGAAGAAAATAATACATAATTTAAACTCACGTCTATAAATCGAAATATACGTGGTCTGTTCAAAAAGTACCTGGAATTTTCGTTTTTTCAAAAAAATATTTATTTATTCGTCTACATTAATGTGGTCCCCTTCAAAGTAGTCCCCCCCAGATATAATACACTTATGCCAGCGTTTTTTCCAATTTTCGAAGCACCCTTGATATTCACTTTTTGATATGTCCTTGAGCACTCTCAGCGATTTTCTTCAATCGAGGAGAACCGCCGTCCTTTCATGGGTCTCTTCAACTTTGGGAATAGGAAAAAGTCACACGGAGCCATATCTGGTGAATTTTTGCACTTTGCAACACTTTATTTCATTTTTTACGCAAAATTTAATACAAATTCTTTGACTTTTCAATTCTTCCATTGTAAAAATCGACGAGCTCAGAAAAACACGTCGAACCTTAGCGACTACCACAGACAAAGTAAACAGTGAATATAGCTGAAAATTTCATCATACTTTAGGGGCATGTATACCAACACAATAAAAAAAAATTTTGACAATCAGACACTCCAGACCCGCGAAATTTAATTATTAGTAATTCCGGGTACTTTTTGAACAGACCACGTATAATAGTTTGATCACCAGTAAAGTTCTTTTGGAATTGAAATTTAGTTTGCTCGTCAGTAGAGTCCTTTTTATAGAGTTGAAGAAGCTCTTTTGTATGATAAACAAAAGAATATATAGTTAAAGAAAATTGCCTATTGGCAAATTGTTTTGTTTTGAAACATTAGAGATGGTTAAGTCCTTGATTTGTCTGTCATTGTTCATAAAAAGTAAAATAGTTATGAAATTTGTATTATAACTAGTGGTGTATGGGCATCGTGCCTTGAGGCAAATTGATAGAACTTTCCGTACCGTAATAAAATATTCGAGAAATTTTAAACGTTAATAACAAATACTGTAAGGTTAATTATTTTTGCTCTAGTTTGTTATATCTGAGCAAATCAAACGTAAATCATAAATAAATTTATTTTCAGAAAAAACATTAACAATCGTCATTTCCTTTCGAATTCAATTTAAAAAAAAATAGTTGCATAAGAGCAAAATTAAATTTGAACCTCAAATATAAAAAAGGACTCTACTAACGAGCAAATTAAATTTGAACCTCAAATATAAAAAAGAACTCTACTGACGAGAAAATTTCAATATAAATCTAGAAGATAAAAAGGGACTCTACTGGCGAGCAAATTAAATTTGAACGTCAAATATAAAAAAGAGACTCTACTGACGAGCAAAATTAAACAGCAACTTAGTAAATTAAAAAAAGAACTCTACTAACGAGCAAATTAAATAGCAGCATAAAAAAGGACACACACATTTTTTTCCAAATTTCGTCTCATATGATTCAGAATGACTTTGAGCGCCAAGACAACATAAAACTAGCAAATTTGGATTTTTCGGCGAAAACATAAACTTATCAAAATTATTTGTTATCAATAAGTCTTGATGAAAAGGACAATTAACTTGAAAAAGCAAATAGTTGGGTGTATGGCATCGTGCCTTAAGGCAAATTGCTGGAACTTCCCGTACCGTAACGAAATGTTCGAGGGGAATATTAAATGTTTTCAAATAGATCATTATAAATATTGTAACATTGGATAATATTTATAGGAATTATATAAAATGAATTACAAATATAATAACCGAAAATCAGAGATTTAGGATTCAAATAAAGGGTCTGCCATCTAATGTGAAATGTAATTTGTTATTTTGGATTAAAAATTCAAAAAATCACCCAGACTAAGCACAGTCTAAGCGCCACTCTGGTACAAATGTTTACCCAAGTGCGTTTAGACTGCTTATGTACTGGAGCAATTTTCCAATTTTGTAAGAAAACTATTGAAAAATGTGAAAATGCCGCTAAGTTAAGCACAGTATAAGTGAAAGTGTCGCACAGAATTAATTGCAAATGCGTTTAGACTGTGACTATACGGGAGCACTTTTTCAATTTTGTGCAAATTTGGGCAACTATTTTTTTTTTTGAAATCGAATTTGAAATGAAATAACGATTGTTAATGTTTCATGTGATTTGCTTAGATATTAAACAAGATTGCAAAAGTAATGAAACAATTACAGTATTTGTTATTAACGTTTAAAATTTCTCGAATATTTCATTACGGTACGGGAAGTTCCAGCAATTTGCCTTAAGGCACAATGCCATACACCACTAGTTTTTTCAATGATTTGGCAAAATCATTGCAATCCCAAAGTTATATTATATTCCAATGGAATCCATAAATTTCAATTCGGCAATGTTTTCGTAAAGCAATGTCATATCGTACGATTCTGTAGGAAAATATTGCTTTTTGATTGTTTTCGAAATTGATGTTTGTCTTTCCTACATTTGTATAAACTCCTCATATATATATATATATATATATATATATATATATATATATATATATAATATATATACGTGGTCTGTTCAAAAAGTACCCGGAATTACTAATAATTAAATTTCGCGGGTCTGGAGTGTCTGATTGTCAAAATTTTTTTTTTATTGTGTTGGTATACATGCCCCTAAAGTATGATGAAATTTTCAGCTATATTCACTGTTTACTTTGTCTGTGGTAGTCGCTAAGGTTCGACGTGTTTTTCTGAGCTCGGCGATTTTTACAATGGAAGAATTGAAAAGTCAAAGAATTTGTATTAAATTTTGCGTAAAAAATGAAATAAAGTGTTGCAAAGTGCAAAAATTCACCAGATATGGCTCCGTGTGACTTTTTCCTATTCCCAAAGTTGAAGAGACCCATGAAAGGACGGCGGTTTTCCTCGATTGAAGAAATAAAGGCCGAATCGCTGAGAGTGCTCAAGGACATATCAAAAAGTGAATATCAAGGGTGCTTCGAAAATTGGAAAAAACGCTGGCATAAGTGTATTATATCTGGGGGGGGACTACTTTGAAGGGGACCACATTAATGTAGACGAATAAATAAATATTTTTTTGAAAAAACGAAAATTCCGGGTACTTTTTGAACAGACCACGTATATATATATATATATATATATATATATATATATATATATTTATATATGTATATATGGGTAAGTTGACAAATCGCGTCCCCTAAGCGACGCGTGTACAAGGGGCACCCTCGGCACCCGCCCTTCGCCTTTGTGTCAATAATGATTTCCGAGGGAATCCATCAATGAGGAGAAGGACGACGATGAGACGACTATAGGCGACAGGAGACGAGACAGAGGAATTCTATTTTCACTCACTAATAGTGTTGCCGCAGACGATATTTATATGTCGATTTGTAATATCTATATATATATATATATATATATATATATATATATATATCTTGATAGTTTTTTCGACGTTGAAACATATTTCAAAAGTAACTAGCAGCCCATTCGTCGAAATAAAAAAGGTATAAAGTATAAAAACTTTTATTTACACGTTTCGACACAAGATGCGTGTCATCATTCAGCAACACAGGACAAAAACACTCAACAAAAATTTATTTTTAAAAAATTAAACTTAATAACATATTAGAGAAAAACATTTTTTTAGAAAAAATGATGTATAACTAAAAGATTTGAAAACTAATTTGACTAAAAGTTATGAAATGCATAATTGTGAAGCGAGAAACACGCCCATACCGAGCATCCAGACTCGACTCAATGTTTTTCTCTAATATGTTATTAAGTTTAATGTTTTTAAAATAAATTTTTGTTGAGTGTTTTTGTCCTGTGTTGCTGAATGATGACACGCATCTTGTGTCGAAACGTATAAATAAAAGTTTTTATACTTTATACCTTTTTTATTTCGACGAATGGGCTGCTAGTTACTTTGAAATATATATATATATATATATATATATATATATATATATATATATTTATATATATATT